AATTGGAAGAGCTCACCATTAAGGTGTTTTTCCACCCAGAAAATCTATGATTGTGTCAAACCAAAGGCAGGCACTATGCCAAAGAAGAGCAGTGGGTTCCCTAGGTCCTAGTGGACCAGCCTCCTGTCCTACCAACACCACTTCCACTGCTTTAGATGATGAGACCCACGCCAGCCACTGGTACCAGCCAGAACCAGCCCATAGCAAGCCCCACCCCCCACCCCCACACACCTTACTTTCCTGACCCAAGCCCTATTGACAGATCCCCCAGAATCTGAAGGAATTCAAGACAAATGGTTAAGAGGATGGAGTTAATAAAATTTGAAAAATTGAGGCCTGTCACTCCACTAAACTTTTTTCAATACCACTGACAGAAACATATTTCCCCAATGAGTGACCTTCCACAGCTGTAGCGGGCAGGCACAGCCGCAGCAGTGCTGCCAGGAAGCCAGTCTGCTATTTATCAAATATTATAAGCTGGGACACACTAATCTGGAGCATGGAGAGGAGAGGAGGGGTCCTGCACTATACTGCCTGGGGTGCTCCAGGTGTTGGCCCCAGCCCCAGACAGCCAGTGGGAGGTGACGGATGGCCTGCGATTAGCACTCCCCACCTCCATTCGGCCCTGTCACTTGCTCCCAGAGGCCTGACCCTCTAGACCAGCTGCTCGGCCTGGAGGGGCCCAGAGGGGCCCTGGGTGGGAGACAGGGGGAGGTCAGGCCAGGGCACGGGCCATCCTGATGCCCCTGGAGAGGGCAGGGGGGTGAGACCCAGTGTGGTTATTTATTGGAGTATAATGGTTTGTGGCCGTTGGTCGTGGAGGTGAAATCGATCAGTTGTAGAAGTCAGGTTCTATCAATTATTAGAGCAATTAGTCAAGTCAGCATCAGAGCAAGGGTGTGGGGGGGGGCTGGGGGACTGATATTAGATGGACATTTCCCATGGTGCCCCCACCTCAGCCTTCCTAAAGTGAGAGCAGAAGTGCTGCCCCGAGGCTCCAGAACCTTGGGGAAACCAGCTGGCTTCCCCCTCAGGAGTGGCTGGGGTGGGGACTAAGAGCTTCCTGAGCTAGAGATGGGCCAGGACACAGCTAAAAAGCATCCCTATGCTGACTGGCACAGGTGCACAGATGTCTTACCTGTCCCCATCCTATCCTTTATGAGAAGTGACACGACTCCTACTAGAAATTACTCAGTGGCCAATGTTTATGGCACACATTTTTCATTCTATAAGCAAATATAGATCACTGACAGCACTTGTTTGACGCAGCTAATCTCACCCTCGGTTCTTTCTCCCACTATCTTCCTCTCTGACCTTCCCTCCTCTCTGCCTTCCCCTTCTCTTCCATTTCTCTTTTCCTTGTTGCTCCTCTTTACCTTCTATAGATCTCTCCTTATAGATCCACCTTTTATTCCAATCCATATCTAGCAACAGAGTTCGTTCCCCTTGAGGCTGCCTAAGAAAGGCCTTTGCACTGCTGAACTGTAGCTCTCTTTCAGCCCTAGCCACTATCTAGGAACTTGGGGGGAGGGGAGGATGCCATCTGCCACTGGCCGCAGCCCTTGTAAGCCCCTCACTGTTGAGCACCAACAGTGAGGGCTGGTAAGGCCAGACCAGTGAACAAGCCTCGTTCCTTCCTGCACCCCCACAGTATTGTCTGTTCCTCCTTCCGCACAGTGACACATTTGGCCTGAATGGTAGTTGTTTGATCAACTCTCATCCCCATTAGCTTCTGGAAAGCTGGAATTGTGCCTTGACACCAACCCTAGGTAATACCGGATCTTAAAGACAGGAAGTGGAGTCTGCACAAAAGATGGTCATGGGGGTGTGAGGAAAACCTGAACAAATGGTTATAAAACCATTTTTATAACCTGAGTTTTATTTTTATAAAACTCAAAGCAAAGAGTAGCCAAGGTATCAGTTGCTACAGAGTGGTCAAGAAATAAAAATAGAAGACTATTCCTTGGCTTTGCCAGTCTCCCATCATCCTGCATACAGAGCCCTGCAGATACAAAACATCCAGTCACTGCCAATAGAATTGAAAAAATGAGGTTGCAACGGAGCCCCTAAGAACTTGCCTACTAGTTAGGAAGAGCACAGACACCCTCCTTACCAGGGAGGTGGCACTTTATCCTGTAAGTGGTGAAAAGCCCGGGAAGGAAATTTCAGCAGGGGTATATCATGGCTGCCATGTGGAAGTGTGGAGAATTGGAGTTGAGTAAAACTAACGAAGGGTTTGACTCCTGGTCCAAGCAGATAATTAGCTTTGTGACCTTGGGGTAGTTATTTCATTTTCCTGGGCCCCAGTTTTCATGTCTGTAGCATGGGGATTTTAATTCCTACCTCTCAACAGTGGTTGCAAGGATTAAGTGATACAGTGTACATGAAGAACAGAGCACAGTGTCTGGCACATAGCCAGTGCTCAGTGCTAGCAGCCGCTTTTATCACCACTCCTAGATTTATAGCCAAGAGACTTGAAAACACATCTATGCGAAGACTTGTACACATACATTCATAGCAGCATTATTCACAGTAGCCAAAGGGAGAAATAACCCAAATGTCCATCCACTGAGGAATGGCTAAACAAAATGTGGCCTGTCCACAGAATGGAGCTTTTTTCATCCATGAAAAGAACTGCTTTCCTGCTTTCATGTGGCAGCGTGAATGACACCTACTACAACATCGATGAACCTTGAGAACATGCTAAATGAAAGCAGACAGACAGGAAAGACCATACATTGTATGTTTCCATTTACATGAAATGTCAGGTATAGGCAATCTATAGGAACAGAAAGTAGACTAATGGTTGTTGGGGTTGGGGGATAGGAGGTGTCTGTGATAATGGTTATGGGATTTCTTTTTGAGATTATGAAAATGATCTCGAATCAGTGGTGACAGTTGTACAACCCTGTAAGTATATTTAAAATCACTGAATTGGACACCTGGGTGGCTCAGTCAGTTGAGCATCTGCATCCTGGGACCAAGTGCCGCATTGGGCTTCCTACTCAACCAGGACTCTGCTTCTCCCTCTACCTCTCCCCACTGCTTATATGCACTTTCTCTCTCTCTCTCTCTCTCTCAAATAAATAAATAAAATCTTAAAAAAACAAAACCACTGAATAATACACTTTAAAATTTTTGAATTTTATGGTATGTGAATTATATATCAATAAAAAAGAATATAAATATTTCAAATTCCTATTAGAAAATAGGATCATGTATAATTTTTCTCACTGATATTAAGTGTCCTTGGTCTGGATCATACTTCTTACTCTCTATCCTACTCCCTCCTCCTCCCACACCTATTCCTCTGCAGCCCAGGCAGACAGCCACATTTAAATGCTTAATAAATGCTTACAATTGTTGATAAATTTATAGACCTTTAAGTAGCCAAGAGCTTCAGTAGGAATAGTTTTATATCATGGAACAAATGTTTCCACAGCCTAGGATTGAGAAATGCTGACTTTTATAGTCCAACATCAGACAGTAGCCAGACATCCACCTTGAGCCAGGCCCCATGCTGTGTGCATTTGCCTGCAAATTTAGTGTTCGCAGCCAGCCCACTATACTCTTATGGCAGGGACTGAGTCTTAACCCTTCTTTACTTCTAGACAGTACCTCTTTAGCAAGAAAGAAGGTCTAGGAATATTCTGTTTAATATGTAATTCTTGAGCATGAACTGTGTTCAAGGCACAGCTTTCTTATGTTTCAATCTCCTTGCTTTGAGAGAAGTGCCTTGGGGACCAGGCCAGACCTGATTCCTCTGTGTCTCAAGCCCTACAAATTCAAGGTTTGCCAAATTGAATGGACAGTTTTTGAAGAGGACAATGAGATGTTCAGACCTGGGCTTTGGGAAGGAGATTCTGACAATGTGGAGATCAGAGGAGCCTTTCCTCCATATCTGCCAAGACATTGCACCAAGTAGACACTTTATACAGGCCTGTGAGCTGCCAGAACTTAAAAAGAAGGTAGATGTATGGCCTGGCAAGCCCCTTCCTTTTATCATATTTCAAGTTCTTTGTTCTCAAATCACAGGAACCAATGATTGGAAGAAACACCTGCCCACATGCTCACACTTAACAACAGGTATCATTGGTAAGGGCATCAGACCTTGGGGCTGCCAAAGCCAGGCTCCTGGTGATGCTCACTCCCTTCCAGAGCACTCAGCTAACTCTGAAAGCAGGAAATACCAGAGATAAGAGAGCATTAAAGGAGAGACAGAGGACCAGAGAGCAGAAAAAAGGGGGCTGTTTTACTTTTTTTTTTGTGTGTGTGGATATTCTGTGTTTTAGAAAGGAACTCTTTTATGTGATTTTATAAATGAATATTCATCTCTATGCAAGTAAGCTTGATATAATATAGGCATTTTAATAACTAATGCTTTGGTGGTAGGATATATTAATCTATGTATTTGGTATTTTATTTGGTATTTGTTAGCATGTTCAGCTGTGTGTATTTGTTGTATGTGTGCGTACTCGTGTCTGTATAACACACCTGTGTGTATATAACATAACTTTGTGTATGTAGTGGTGTGGGTAGTACGTATTTTTTTAAATTTTTTTTTATTTGTTTATCATAGTCACACAGAGAGAAAGAGAGAGAGAGAGAGGCAGAGACATAGGCAGAGGGAGAAGCAGGCTCCATGCACCGGGAGCCCGACATGGGATTCGATCCCGGGTCTCCAGGATCGCGCCCTGGGCCAAAGGCAGGCACCAAACCGCTGTGCCACCCAGGGATCCCAGGTAGTACGTATTTGCACGTGTATGTGTAAGTGTAGGAACCCCGATACCCTGACCTGTGTCAGAAAGAACTAAGGACTGCCCTCTCAGAGTAACTTAACATGTTTTTCACACCATTCTGCAATCTCTTAGGGTTTTGTTGCTCTCTCTTTCCATGGGAATGCTTTGCTCTGAAATCAGGGCCCAGGTCACTTCTGAGGGAAGGCTGAGGCCACATTGATGACCACTGATAGAGCCTTTGACTACTTCTCTTCCTGCCAGGAGCCAACCCCCTGCAGAGGAATGAAATGGGACACACACCCTTGGATTATGCCCGAGAAGGGGAGGTGATGAAGCTTCTGAGGACTTCTGAGGCAAAGGTAAGTCTCACAGAAAGGAGAAGGCCTATGGGTACTCTGTGCTGCATTTAATCTTTCACTCATCAAATTATGTCTGGCTCCACACCAAAGCCACTTCTCCTTAGGTGATTATTGTCTGTTTAAATACAAATCCAGCCCCCAGCCTCATCAAGAATAGGAAGCTGCCCCTATCATGACCAGGCAGAGGCCTGAGACACTTCTGACTTCTGAGGACTTGTCTTCAAATTCAGTTTTTGAGGTGGTGGGCCTTCTAGTTTCTTTTCATAGGTCCAGGGATAGACAAAATCTTTAGCCCAAGTAATGTTACCCTGGGCCTCACATATTCTGTAACTTTAGCAAGCAATCTTTTCCCATCATCACTCCTTCTAAAACCATTCCCTGATCCATCTCCTCCACACATACTCCAGAGAGCATGGTACAGCTTGAGCCAAAAAAATCTCCATCTTAATTTGATCTTCTCAACCAAACTTTTGAACTCCCTAAAAGCAAGCTACCTTCTGCTCTTCCCAGCTACTGAGCTATCACTCAGGAACTAGTTGGCAGAATCCAAGAACTAGAATCACAAATCTCAGAGCTGCCAGGGACTTCAGCAATCATCAAGTACAATAGTGGGAAATCTTACCAAAGCCTGAACATCTAAGAGGAAAACAAAGCAATTGTGGTTGAAGGAGAGGTGGACCAGAGCTACACCCACCTGGCCTAACCCTTCTCTCCTGGGCAGCCTCTGTGGAGGCTCTTCTGTGAGGCACACGTTTTAAATCTCTGAAGCCTAAATCAGTGGACTCTTACTCTAAGAGATTGTAGAATGGTATGAAAAACATGTCAAGCTACTCTGAGAAGACAATCCTTAGTTCTCTTTTTTTTTTTTTATTTTTTTTAAATTTTTATTTATTTATGATAGTCACAGAGAGAGAGAAGCAGAGACACAGGCAGAGGGAGAAGCAGGCTCCATGCACCGGGAGCCCGATGTGGGATTCGATCCCGGATTTCCCGGATCGCGCCCTGGGCCAAAGGCAGGCGCCAAACCGCTGCGCCACCCAGGGATCCCTCCTTAGTTCTCTTTGACACAGGGGTCAGGGTATCAGGGTTCCTGCACATAGATGTACACGTGCAGATACATACTACCCACACTACATAACACGAAGTTGTGTTATATACACACCGATGTGTTATACAGACATAAATACACACAGATACAACAAAAACACACAGCTGAACATGCCAACAAAAAGCCCAGGGATATGACATGGCTTGCCTTTGGTCCCAGAGTGCATTAGTGTCAAAACTGAAACTAATAGATTTGAATACAAGGTCACGTAGTAGGTTTGGTGTTAGGACTAGAACTGAAAGACTTGGTTTCTTTTCTTAAGATTTTTTTTTTTTTAATTCATGAGCGACACACAGAGAGAGAGGCAGAAACATAGGCAGAGAGAGAAGCACCTGATGTCCTCAGTCGCAGGACCCCAGGATCACAACCTGAGCCAAAAGCAGACGCTCAACCACTGAGCCACCCAGATGCCCCTGACTTAGTTTCTTTTTTTGTTTATTTGTTTGTTTTCCTTCATATGGTGAAAAAATTTAGATTTAGCCAGCTAGACTCAGTTTAGATGATCCCTGTTTTGTTGGCAACATCCAAAGCATCAGACTCAGGAGCCAGTCGAACATATGCCTTCTTCTCTCCACTGGGCCTGATCAGGGTGTTGACCTTGGCCACATCAGTGTCATAGAGCTTCTTCACAGCCTGTTTGATTTGGCGCTTATTGGGCTTGACATCCACAATGAACACAAGTGTGTCATTGTCTTCTATTTTCTTCATGGCTGACTCAATAGTCAGGGGGAAGTTGATGATGGCATAATGGTCAAGCCTGTTTCTCCTGAGGATACTCTTTGGAGGATATTTGGGCTGCCTTTGGAGATACAATGTTGTGGACTGTCAGAATGTAAGTGACGTGCAGATCTTAAAGGCGTCCATGGATGCCTTTAAGCACCACTCTCTTGGCATTAAAAGCCTTTGCTTTGGATTTGGCTTTGGCTTTGGGAGGAGCAGGGGCTTCTTGCACCTTCAGTGCCATCTACGTGAAAAGATGGAAGACTTGGTTTCTGATTCTCAGTCTTATGCTCTTTCCTTCATCATGGAGTCTCTTTTGGCACATTGGCTGAAATCCTTTGAGATGATTCAGTGCGACAGGTCCCACCTAGTGGCAAATATTCTGTCTTGAATAAGAGCACTTAGGTCACTGGACTGAGACAGACAAGACATGATTTGTGGTCCCAGCTCCACCACTCACTGACTGGGTGATGTAGGGCTAGCATTTCCCTTCACTGAAGCTCAGGTTACCTCTGTGAAATGAAGACATTGCACAAAATGGTTTCTAAGGTTCCACTCAGTATACAGTCATCTATGTTGTAACAACGCAGAATTTTGATGGTGTAAAATGGCAAAGATTTCCTTTTGGCCTCATGAAGCCTGTCCATCATGTGTCAGTGATAGAGCCTCTGTTCATTATAGGCCCTCAGAGACCAGACTGGCATTGCAGCCACCTTCTGGGATGTTGCAGGTTGCTGGCCAGAGGGAAAAGAATGCTCTGGAGGGTCTTGCATCTGTAGTTAAATGCTCATTCTAGAAGTAGACCCTTTACTTCCAATCACACTGGACAGAACTAATCCTTGTTCACACCCAGTCACAAGAGGCCAAGAAGAATAATCCTGTCATGTGCTCAGAAGGGGGAGAACTGGAAATATCTGGCAACCAGCATTAACCATATAATTTGTTTCCCTGGGATCCTTAGTAACTGTCTTGCAGTGGTTTCCTCCAGAGAAGAGGGGGTAGAAAGGGAGATGGGATTTCACAGCACATCCTGAGTGCTTGGGACAGCAAGAGTGAAAGTTCCTAGAGAGCAAGCACTTCTCTCCTCTCTGTTCAGATTTTCCACCCCTAGGAGCAGCCCTAGAGGTCAAATCAGTTTCCTCAGATGTCTTAAGGAAATCCCTGAACATGTTTCACTAACCTCCAGGACTGCACTCCTATCATTCCATGAGAGTACACCCTGGACTTGGCCAGGAGAACCCGTGGTGTGTCAGGTGGTATGACATAAGGCAGACCTCTTAGTGCCAGCATAGGTGGAGGGGTTAGGGCTGCTGAGGAACACTTAACAAAATTTTGCTGCCTAAGAAGTGGCTTAATGTTGGCCATGTTAGTACAAGGCTAGGGCCCGAGTGAATAAATGGTGGTTGCATCCCTCTATTCCAGTCAGACCCTTCTGAACCACAGAGGGCGGTTGCAGATATTATCATCGAAGTAGACACAGAGCTCTCAGAATCTGTGCTGAGTAGGGCAGCTAAGGGGGCAAGAGGAAATATGCCATAGAAAAAGCCAAAGGCAGTAGGAACTTCTGGCCCAGAGAGGAGAGACCACACATAGGCACAAGAATGGCTGTGAGAGGGGAGGAGATTCAGAGGCAAAGCTGGGACAGAGCCAGGCTTGGTGGTACCTCTAGGGAAGGGGCTCCCTAACAAAGCTGTCACATAGTATAAGGGGCTGCCTTTAGAGGCTGGTAGACCACTTAGAGACAGCCCGGGGTTCTGTCACCTTTCCATGGAAAAGATTATTTCTCTCTTGTCACCTCTCTGCACTTGATCCTTTCATCTGGTCTGGAATGTCCCAGCTGTGCATTAAGTATCTCCACCTGATTGCTCTGCTGTCCCGTCACCCCTCAGTTCTCCTTGGATATCTGTAGCATTGTCTTTCTCCCAGTTGCCCAGCATCTACTTGTCACCCACTCTTTCTGCTCTGCTTTTTTTCCTCTAAGCTGAAAAACACAAAACAAAACTACCCCTTCAAACTCGTGAGGCAGTTTCATAGGAAGAACACTGCTTTAGATCTGGTCTGTCCTTCTTGACAGTAAGTAAGCAGCAGCTGCTGCTGAGTTCATGCCCTACATCTGTAACCTGATGACTCAGGCCTGGAGAGTGCTAAGGCTCCAGCCTGAGACCTCATCTCCTGGCTCTTTGTCTAGACATGGGTGACTGCAGCTCTGATCTTACCTTGCTCCCCTTCTATCTGTCCAGCATCCCCCTGCTACCCAGCTACCTTCACCTACCACCCTGTAGTCAAATATGTGCTCATTATGGTAAATGTGTCAGTATAAAATTCCTGTGTCTCATTATAGAATATCTGGAAAGTAAACTGAAGAAATTTAAATAATTCAGTACATTTTATGAATAACATCTGTGTGCCAGGGTCTAGGCTAGGTAAGAAGACAAGTGGATGAAACACTCAAGGAGCTTACTGTCTGATGAGGAGACAGGCAAGTGAAGCATAACATCACTGAGTCATAGTCTCAAGGAAGCCCAGAAGCTCTGGAAATCCAGAGCTGGCTTCAGATCCTGCCTGGGAAGATCAAGGCAGGCTCACTGGAGAACATGTCAATTGGGCTGCTGGAGTGACGGGGTAATGGGCACTGAGGGGGGCACTTGACGGCATGAGCACTGGGTGTTACCCTATATATTGGCAAATTGAACTCCAATAAATATACACACACACAAAAAAAGAATCTCAATTAAAAACATTCTTGCCCTACTACCTATACATAATCACTATTAATATTTTTAATTATTTATAATAATAGTAGGTGTCTTTTATTGAGTACATCTAGGCACTATGCCAGGTTATCTGTTTTTTTCTAATCTTATAACAAATCCTTGAAGCAGCTCTTATTACCCCCATTTTACAGATGGGAAAACTGAAGCTGAAGGAAAGAAAGCAAATGACTTACAGAAAATCAAGTTGTTATAAGTAACTATTGGGATATGAATGAGAGGATTTCCTTCTATAATATAATATTTGCCTTTTCTGGAATTTATCTATCTATATATAGATGGCCTCTTTTTTTAACCTGATTGATTTCACACTGGCAGCCATTTTTTATTTTGACAACCCAAGAATTTATTAAAAATGTGACCCCTTAGAGATTGGAAGTGTGGATTCTCCAGCACAGACC